AGAATTACTGTGAGAATAAAGTACAAAAAATAATTCTAGGAACTAGAAATGGAAAATTTTTTATAAAATGAATAAGTCACTATGCAGTATATACTGGACTTGTGTCCATGGAAATGTATATATCAGCTGTGTTTGCTATGAAAATATTTAGATTAATTAAGGTCTTTAGTAATTCAATACAATGCAGGGGGAAAACAGTATAGAAAGCAAACATAAATACCAGAGACAGTGTGGGAGGAGAGTGAGAGATGGCAGAGGGTAAGAGATAGGGAATCAAGGATGGGGGAAAAAAAAGCAAAACATTACAGAAAACAAGAAATGGAAAATTATTTGCTGACAATAACATGTTTGTTGATGTGCTTGATTGAGACAATATACAGTGTACTCTGGATGGAAAATCTCATTTTGTATGCTGTAATGATGTACAGTGAATGAATGCAAATAAATAAATTAATTAATTAATAAAAAATAAATAAAAATTAAAAAAAGAAAATGTGTTGTATTGGCAGGTCAAAAGAATGTGTTGTATTGGCAACTCAAATGCTACATCTGCTGCAGCCCTCAGTGATATGATTTTATGAAATATTGACTAACTTTAGGTAAAATTCTTAAAATTCAATCTGTCCTTGATTTACCTAGAAAATTCAGTGCTATTAGGAATATGTACAAACAACCTCTTCCTTTTTTTTTTTTGAGTGTTGCTTTTTTCTTTTTTCCCCCTCCCATAGGGCGCTTGGTGTAGAGAGACAGAGAGAGAGAAGGAAAGTGAGAAATTACCCCCCCACCCCACCCCCAGAGAGGATGCCATGTTGCAACCCCTTCTCCTCTAGTCTCCTTTCAGGATTTTGGGCACACGCCCACAGAGACCCAGCATGTTTCAAGCCACTGGGTCCAGGACTCCAACCGTGGTCAGGCAAGTGAGAGTCCAGCATATTAGCCACTATGCAACCTGCTGGCCCCATGTTCTTCATTTTTAAATGTAAAAGGAGGTTTTGTTTTAGGCTCATGTTATTATAAGTAAGTTTTTCACCTTTGCAGAATCTCTGTTAATAGTTGTGGTGGATTTGGAATAGTTCTTCATTATACAGAACTATCCTACCCTAGATATCTGGAGTCTCTGGTTCCTGTGTGTTAAGTGCTCATAATATGCCACAAATATGATGAACAAAAAATACACTCTTAAATTTCCCAGAAACCCCTTGAGATTGGTACTATCCCCATTGAGAAGTGTTGATAATAGTGGATTTGTGTTCTGAATTATTATAAGTACTGTGCAACTTATGTAAACTTACAGATTCTGAAATTATTTCTGAGTCATGCATGCAGTGACTTGTGGAATTATATCACAGATGTTTCATTTCATTTTTTTCCCACCGAAAACTCTTATTTTCCATTATCTTTGTTTCTTAACACAATATTTTAATTTGGTCTCTTATGCCAATTTGTGCTTGTTGTACATCACTGGTAATTTTCAACCATGAGCACAAAATACATAACAGGAAGTATTGTGAGCAAAATCTTAATTACGTCCGTATTGGCTGTAATGGAAAAAAAAATAGGAAAAAAATAAATCAAGAAGGTTATCTTTTGAGAAACTGGAAAAATATATGACTTCTGTGCCATCGAAGTCTGTACCAAAGTTTGTCAAGTGGGGATTATGCCTGATGTTTTTGTGTAATTGTCAGGTTTTCTTTAAAAGTCAAATGGAGTTGCTTGAAAGGTTTCATTGCCAACCTTTTTTTGTGTGTGTGTTATATGCTTATATTTGTAAGCCTTATGGTAAGATGTGATGGGAGTAGCTGGACAATAAATCCTGACAACTAATGTTCTAAAGACTTTTTTTTTTTTTGACTGCAGGAGAGAGAGAGAGAGAGCGAGAGAGAGAGAGCAAGTGAGCAGTCATTTTTGACAAGATTATGTTAAATACCTAAAGTCGCTTTTGATAGAAATTCTCCAAAATTTAGATGTTTAATTTTGAATAACGTTATCTAACTGATCAACTGGTTTATTATTTGGAGCTATATTTTGTTCTCTTACTATGAAAAGTTATCAAGAGACTGAGTTGCTTAAAACTGGAGGTTTAGGGGACCAGCAGTTAGCGTAATGGCTATGTCACTGGACCCCCACGTAGTCGACCGCGGTTCGCGTCGCTAACCCAGTGGCTTAAAACTCATGCCGGGCGCATGTGCATGTGTGCCCAAGATCCTGAGAGGAGAATGGAGGAGAAAGGATTGCGGTGTGGCCATCCCCCCTGGTGGGTGATTTCTCGCTTTCTGTCTCTCTGTCTCTCTCTGTCTGTCTGGCAAGCGCACACGCCCTAAAGCATAAACCTCTCAAAAAAAACAAAAACAAAAACAAAAAAACAAAATAAAACAAACAAACAAACAAAAAACTGGAGGTTTAAACAAAGAGATTATGGATGATCTCTTATAGTTGAGGTAGGCATGGATTAAAATCTGCTCTTAAGCTTTCTCACTTCAAATTACTTCTGTGTCACTTTGCTGGGCACAGTACTTGTTCCACTGGACAGTTGGGCACTTGAACAGAACCAAAGGTGCTTTCTCAGAGACACTTTGTGGTTTCTCAGTTGGCACTGTGTGGTCCATTCCTACCCACACAGTCTGTCCATTAAGAGTATCTGCCAGGTTTCTTAACTTTTATAGCCAAATGGAAATCTTTCACCAAAGCTATGGTTTTCTCTAAACTCAGTAGTGAAAAATAACACCCTCACTTCTTGTCTGCATATTACTATGAATTTGTCTACATAGCCCACTCTCATTTAAAGGTCAGATGAAAGAAAATAGTTATATGTGAATCAGCATTTCCAACCTAACTTCCTAACAGGTGGCAATAATGATCATGGGAAATCATGTTAAATAATTTACACACATTTACTTAATGTACATTTTGGTAGAACTTTTAGTACACTAATTATATTTTGAATTGCTAAGCATAGTCTATAAGATATTGTTTTTTTTTTTTTTTTAAACAAGAAATTTACTTAAACAACAAGATGCTTGACTTGAAGGGAAAACTATCTAGGATTCCTTTTTTTTCTTTAAGAGTAATTTGCCCCTACTTAAAGACAGATTGCCCTACATGTAACAGCTACGTACAAAAAAGTTATAAAATTGTCCTTGGTTTTACAATGATAAATGAAAAACATTAAAATTCTCCAATCAAACAAGGTATGCAAGGATTTTTATGTTGTTGTTTTTTTTTTTCTTTTTCTTTTTGTTAAAACAGTGACAGCAAAATAACTAAAAAAAAAAAAAACTGCAATATGCTTGTGCACATACACCAGTTACTTCATGTACAATAAAGGAATGGGGAAGGGAAAATGAAAGAATAGAGAAAACTATACTGTAGTCAGGATGTGGTGAAACCAAATTGTGGTTTTCTAATTGAGAATGTATTCTTGGTCTGTAAGAACAGAGTTCTGGAGTAAAGTAGCAGGTTCCCTTTTTAGTAGACGCCTCCTGTCTGCTGTTGGAACACATCAATTGTATCTTCATCCTCCATTTCCAACTGTACAGGTGTGTCTGTTTCGTTGATCGGCTGCCCATCAAACCGGAATCTGATCTGCCTCATTGACAAACCTGTTCACAATAGGCTTTCATTAGTTTACCAAGTGGTGTATGCCTCTTAATCTTAAACTGCACCACAGAACCATCCTGCTCTGCCACCTTCAAATTAATATGATTGTTGTTCTCAGTCTTGACTCCTTCCTTGGGTTTTTCGTCGGCCATGGCGAGCGCTGGAGTCTCCTCAGCTGCCACTTCACAAAAGAGGTACCAGGTCCCCACCGAACGAGCACACAGGCAGCACCAGGAGCGGAAGAAGGAGGCGGTAGCGGTGGAGGAGGGAAAGGGCACGCGCACGTAGATATTGTTTTTCAAACATAATTTGCAATGGAACATGTATTTTTTTAGGCATCTTACACATATAGGTGATTGCTAATTGCTACTATAAGACTAATGCCCTGAATATCTGAAACATTTTCTATCACTGAATTATATTTTTGTATTATGCCCTAGAGTGAGTACAGACATTAGAAATAGCTATATGAGGGCCATCAGGTGGCATGGTGTTTAAGGTCGCTGGACTCCCACATGGTTGACTGTGGTTCGAGTCCTGGTCCTGGCGGCTTGCTTTCTTGCTTTCTCTCTTTCTCTCTCACTGTCCCTCTATGGTCCAATTAAAATAAATAGATAAAGCTAAATAAAATAATTCTTAAAAAAGAGAAATAGCTATATGAAAGGCTATTATAGTTAAAAACTGTTGTCCTAAACTATTGTTGAAGATATTGTCCAGTATGTGGATTAATATTCTTAGAATAAATTCCTCCTGTGATTTAATGCTTGGTAAAGCTTGTGTTTCTCTTTTCTGTCAGATGAGAATTATGTAAGCCATTATGTTTTCTTTTTTTTCTTGCCATGCCTTTAAGGCAACTCATATAAATGTAATGCACAAACACGATAATTATTTAGTACTCATGTTTAGCATACTAAGGGTGTTTATTTTCCCCTTTTATGTTTAGGTAGTTTGGTAATTCTTAGATCTTACCTTTTATATCTTGTTTTCTTCATCTTTAATATAAATATAATGTTGTTCTTGAATATATTTTCTAATTTGGAACATATATATATATACTATTCAAACTGACTTATTGAATCTGGTTAATCAGTTGGAAGACTATCTTATACACTACTAAGTAACCTCTAATGATTTTTTCTTTGGACTCCATCAACTAGGTACTAACCAGGGGGCAAATTGAGGGACAGAGGTGAAACTGATACCCATGCCTGATATTTGTATACTTGGCAAAGACCGAATCCTGGATCATTACAGTATAAGAGTATTGACTTCATTTGCTATTGTGCAGTTATAGTTAGACTGTTGAAATTAAATTAATGTTGATGACTGTCAATGTTCAAAACCAGGGTAAATGAAAGTTAAATTTGATGTCTTACATGCGCTCCCCACTCTTGTTCTCACAGAAAAAGGCTTGGCAGGACCACAAGCGGGAATGCAAATGCCTTAAAAGCTGCAAACCCAGATATCCTCCTGATTCTGTCCGACTTCTTGGCAGAGTTGTCTTCAAACTTGTGAGTATAAAATTGATGAAATATGTTTGGGTTTTAATTTAACGAAAACATTTCAGTTGAATTTATTTAATTTTTTTTGAGAGATTTTTGTTATAGAGCATGTGTGCTTGCCACAGAGATAGAGAGACGGAAAGTGAGAAATCATCCCCTAGGGGTGATGGCATGCCACAATTCCTTCTTCTCCAATATTTTGGGCAAACATACACATGCGCCTGGCGTGAGTTTCAAGTCACTGGGTCAGGGTCTCAAACCATGGCAAACCATGTGGGAGTCCAGTGATGTAACCATTATGCCATCTGCTGGTCCCTATTATTCTTATTTAAGGCTGAATTTGCACCCATGTTAAAATAGAAGGTAAATTATTCCAGGGAGTATCTTAAGACAACTCACTATTTTCCTAGTAATCACAAAATCAGTGACTGTGAAGTGCACAACCCTTGTTTGAAGGCCCTGGGACTTCCTTTTGGAAATGATAACATGAGGGTCTATGTTTGGAGTGTAGGATGTTACTAATACCTTTCACATTGCCTTTATAACTTTTCAACTGAGAATTAATACATGTGGCAGGTATGCCCTTTTCTGTTTGCCTCTTAAGTGAAATATTAGACAGTAATTAATATTAAATTGAAGAGCACATATCCCTCTTTTTTATTTTAAAAAAATTAGTCAGGATTTATTGGAATGATTTCTTCAGTCCTTTTTCATACAGTGCCAAAACAGTAGATTCCTGTTTTGGGGAAGCCTTTCAGGGTTTTTTTTTTTTTTTCCCCACACCAGGCTTTAGCACGAACATCTTTCTCAAATTATTTCAGGCTTCAGTACTGTTCTTTCTTGTTATGTGTTGACTTGTTTTGTCTAGTCTAAAATTTTATAAACAGTTTATTTTTTTAAATTTTTTAAAAAATTTTTTAGGTTTTTGCCATAGGGTGCATGCATGCGCCAGTGAGAGAGACAGAAATGGAGAGAGGGAAAGCGAGAAATTACCTCCAAGGGCGTGACCATACCACAGTGTCTTCTCTTCCATTCTCCTCTCTGGATTTTGGGCATGCACGCACGCGTGCCCAGTGTGATTGTCAAACTGCTGGGTCCCAAACTCAAACCGTGTGGGTGGCCATGTGGGAGTTCAGTGCCTTAACCAACACAATACCTGATGGCCCCTATAGATAGTTATAAGAATTTAAAAGTATGGAGTCAGCAGGTAGACTAGTGGTTGACACACTGGACTCCCACATGGTTAACCGCAATTTGAGTCCTGGACTCAGTGACTTGAAAATCATGCTGGGCGTGTGTGCATGAATGCCCAAAATATTAATAGGAGAATGAAGACGAGAGGATTGTGGAGAGAAGAAAAATCTGGGGAGTGATTTCTTGCTTCCTGTCTCTTTGTCTTTCTCTGGCAAGTACATGCACCCTATAGTAAAAATCTCTCTCTATTTTTTAAAATTTTTTTGGAGAGGTTTTTCACTATAGGGTGTGTGCGCTCGCTAGAGAGACAGAAAGAAAAAGTGAGAAATCACCCCCGGGGGGGATGGCCACACCGCAATCCCTTCTCCTCCATTCTTCTCTCAGGATCTTGGGCATGCACGCACATGCGCCCAATGTGAGTTTAAGCCACTGGGTCTGAGACTCAGATCATGGTAGACTACATGGGAGTTCAGCGACATAACCATTATGCTAACTGCTGATCCCGTAAAAATCTCTCTCGGAAAAAAAAAAGGAATTTAAAAGTATGAAAACTCTATAAAAGTTTTGTATTTGGAGATTTAGAACTGATGGGTGAGATTGCTTGTTAGATTTTATTTTAATATTGTTCCTGATTAAGTAATTAAATTCCAATAATAAAGTAATGAAGAGAAAGAATATAAAGAACATAGTCCTTTTTCATAATTTTTCATTTAAATATTTAAAGGCACTCTAACATACATGCTTTTGGTGTTTCTCTACTTTCATTCACAGATGGAAGAAACACCCTCAGAATCGGAGAAACTCTACTCATTTTACGATTTGGAGTCAAGTAAGTAATTGTCTATTAACATCTCTTAAGAATGCCTATCATTTGTTTACTGAGCTGTAGAACTGTTTTATTTATTACTAGAGGGAATGTGTGCTCACCAGAGAGAAAAGAAGAGAGAAGGGGCAGGTAGGGGGCATGGTCATGCTGTAATCCCTTCCTGTTCATCTCTCCCTTTCTGGATTTTGGGTAAGCACATGCACACATCTGACATGTTTCTAAGTCACAGGATCTGGGACTCAAATTGCATAGCTGGCCATGTGGGATCTAGCTGTTTCAACCATCAGGCCACAGACCTAGCCCAAACTGCATTATTTTGAACTTTTTTTCTATGTCTTTATTATGTAAGTCAAATCTAATGAGACTTGCTTTTATATACACCTGACCCATTTACTTAATTGATTCTAGGGCAGCTTTGGCCCTGTCAGAGTTTGTGAAGTACCATAAATATCTCCAGGTTAGGCAGGAGAGTGTAACCACTAGTCCATTTGATGAATAATTTTTCTTCTGTTTCTCCTTCACTCTTCTGTTTTTCTCTTTTTTGGTTTCCTCTCCTGGTTTTTTTTTTTCTATCTCAGAAAAGAGTGATGTACTGAATAAGCGAGTTCCAGGGAGCTTTTAAGGTCACCGTTTCTTCAGTTATTAAAGAAAGTAAAAGACACAGATGCCTTAGACTCTAAACGGTAATGAGTATTGTTCTCCTGAATTACCTTGGTGGTAACCCAGCTCCTTGGGATGACTGAGAGGCTTTCCAAATCTGAATGTTGAGCAAATGTTAGGTTTATTTTGCATTGTATTGGCACAGCTCCTCTTCAAAGAATATAAATGCCTTCTATCCTAGCCAGAGCTCACAGGATAAATTTGCTACACACTTTTTTATTTCTAGATGGAGACAAGTAAGAGGATGATCCAGTGCAGATTTATGGTTATAGGATCCTAAGTGTGACTAGGAATGGGAATAAATTATTATTAAAATCATTGGGTTAATTATTCTGTTGAACAAGTAATTTAAAGAAAATATGTAGACCTGACACGAGCAACAGAGTTATGCTATAGTTCAACCTGATGTATCTTTTCAAGTTTTAATAGAGAATTAATTTGTCACTTTTTCTTGTTATAATTCTGCTAGGTAATTAAACATCTCATACAGTGAGTTTTACTGCTACCGTTAGCCTTGCGCAGTAGCAGACTCGTACACACTGCCTTAAGCGAAATGTTCTCAGGTGCTGTTAATTGAATTGTGCACTCTTGGTCTTAACACTCCATTGGAGGTATAATTTCAGCTGATTTTTAAGGAGTAACATTAGGTTTAGAACCATCTCTTTCTGTTTCAGTTAAAATAGCACCATATCTTGTTTATTCAACCTGGGAATGATTTGAAGTTGAGATGTCTTTGGCTGATTCATGTTTTCTTTGTGTTTTTATCACTATGACATATTTTACCAACTTGAACTTTATCTCATCTTAGATCTCATTTTCTGTCCTTATTTATGCCTTTGAATTGATCCTGTTCAGCAGTTAGTCATAACCTAGTTCTAAATTACTTCATGGAAAAGTTTGCTTAAATTTCTGACTTCATAACAACTTATGATATGTGTGAGTATTTGTATGAGTGTACAGGATGATGTAGAAAATCGTGTAATACACAACATTACAGATTTTCATTCCAATGCATTTTCATCTGTACGTGCATTTATTTATTTTTTGATAGATGTTTGATCTTACACTATAGGTAAAACTTGGCAGAGTTTAATTGATGACATATGTATGATGATTTGTAGTTGTCAAAAGTTAAAAGTATGGAGACCAGCAGTTAGCATAATGGTTATGTCGCTGGACTCCCACGTAATTGACTGCGGTTCGCGTCCTGGACCCAGTGGCTTAAAACTCACGCTGGGCGCGTGTGCGTGCATGCCCAAGATCCTGAGAGGAGTACGGAGGACAAGGGATTGCGGCGTGGCCACTCCCCCTGGTGATTTCTCGCTTTCTATCTCTCTGTCTCTCTCTGTCTGGCGAGCACATGCGCCCTATCGCAAAAACCTCTCAAAAAAAAAAAAGAAAAAAGAAAAAAGAAAAAAATGTTAAAAGTATGTATTTCTTTTCTTTCACAATGGACCAGACTGCAGGCAGTAACTGGTTTAACAGCCTGTATTGAACACATACAAATTATCCATTAAAAGTTCACTTAGTGATTTATGTTATTTATTTTCTCTTTAAAAAAGATATTAACAAACTGACTGAAGATAAGAAAGAGGGCCTCAGGCAACTTGCACTGACATTTCAACATTTTATGAGAGAAGAAATACAGGATGCTTCTCAGCTGCCACCTTCCTTTGACATTTTTGAAGCCTTCGCAAAAGTAAGTGTTATGTTTGGTATTTTTGTTAATGCCATAAATTGATCCTTTACTCGTTATGTTGTTGTTGGTTGTGCTTGATGGGAAATCCAGAATTCCTAATTCCTTACATCACCCCCCTACCTTAGTGAGTAGAGAATGAGAGAGAGTATTGAATATTTTGAAAAGGGTTTCACCTTGCTGTTTTATCAGTATTATTATAAGCCTGAGTATGTTTTTTTGTCAACTCTCAAAGCACTCTCTTAAAAGAAAGGGTACACTTTCTTTTCCTGCAGGAAAGCAGCGTATCCCATGATTTCTTACTAATAGATTTAAGTTTGCCGTTGTGTTCATTGAGTTTGGTGGTGGTGGTTTCAGTGTAATGCCTGTCTTTGCAGTGGAAAATTTATTGGAATCCAATTCTAATTACATCAATTCAAAGCGTAGCCACTTCTGGTTTTTAAATAATTGCCTAGAAAGCTGTTTAAACGTTTCATGTCACTAAAATATTAAGTTAGAGATAGAAAACAGATTTTATGTAGTATTTCATTTGTGATCTGTTGGAAATAGCTGCCTGAAGAGTTAATTAATGGAAGTGATTCCAAGCATTTGTCTTGGCCCATGGAGGAAGAGTGCAGTGACTGACTCTTGATTTTGACTCTGGGATAGGGAAGATGTGTCAGACACTGCTGTGCAACTGTTGGTCAGTCTCTCATGTTGGTGTTTTGGGGTTTGTTTTACTATTGATCACATTTTAATAAACTAAAATTTATACCTTGGAAGATGATTTGCCACTACTTTTGCAATCTGTAAACGTATATTCAATGACATATTTGCCCCATGTATATTTTAAGGTATGTTTTTAAATCAACTGTTTTCTAAGATTTTAATGTGATCAGTTTCATTGCTAGAGATCGAGTCTAGTTTTTCTCAACTGTACTTTATTCTTTAAAGTATGCTTTTATGATTTTTAAATAATATCATTTTAGTTTATATTTTGGTTTGTCTACAAAGTTGATTTCAAAATATAGTGGCTATTTTTTAATGCATCTGAGAAGTTTCCTTTATGCATATTGCATGTACTCCTGAAAATTATAACATGGAGTAGTGCCATATATACAGTGCACACAGGCTCTTTTGATGTTAAACACAGTAAAAACTAATACCTACTGAAAGGTTAAAATATACATTATGATGTCTGTTATTTCAGTTCTAGTGTTAAATCTTTGGCTGTTTTGTGACAGTTACTTCCAGTTTAGAAAATGTTCAAGTACCAATTACTGGTGTTAATATTCATGACAAGTATTTTAAAATACTTTCTACTACTAAATGTAAAATAGGAATTAATAGCTAGTTTCTCATTTTTCCTTGTAAAAAATTTTAATCTCATGTCTTTTACAATGACATTCTCTCTGTGTTGTACAGGGAAAATTCTGTTGCTGTGATTAAGTAAACACATCTTTAATAATATATTTGTATTTGTTACTGCTACAAACACAACATCCACATCCTTGAGATTTCTGTCTAGTAATTGGACACAGATGTGTCATATCTGCCTTAAAATATAAAATAATAACCAGAGGAAAGAAACATTAACCAAAGACTCCTATACTTCTTTGATCAAGTTTTGTTAATATTTTTGTGATTGATAGTTATTTTTCTGCTTACAAATTTGTCCTTAAAAGAGACTGTTCTCCTTCTCTTTCTTATTTTTTTCTTCTCCCTTCTCACTCCTACTCTCCTTTTACAGAATAAAATGGTCCTTGGGACCAGCAGATAGTGTAATAGTTATGTCGGCAGATCGGGCGGCTTAAACTCACCCCGGGCGCTTGTGCATACATGCTAAGATCCCAAGGGGAGAAAGGAGGAGAAGGGATTGTGGTGTGCCCATCTTATTGTCATTGTAGAAATATGGAATTCTGAGGTCTTTTTAAAATTTGTTTATATCTTAATTATTTTTTGACTTTTTTAGTATGGATTTTCTCAGACATACTCAAAAGTAGAGAAGCTAGTATAATGAACTTAGTTTTAGTAATTTTTGAACTTGTTTCATAACTGATATATACATATTTTATAAGAATTATTTTTAACTTTATTTATTTATTCTATTTTAATTAAACCTGAGAGGGACACACACACACACACACACACACAGATAGAGAGAGAGAGAGAGAGAGAAAGAGAGAAAGTGAGAAAGCTAGTCTCAAGCTCCAGGACTCCAGCAGCAGTCAGCCATGTGGGAGTCCAGCACCCTTAACCATTAAGCCACCTGCCAGCCTCGTAACTGATATTTTTAATAACTAAATGTCACATAGATATCTGCTTTCTTTATTTGGATTTCCAAACCTTCATTACAATTAGTTTTTGAATCAATTCTTGCCCCCCTGAGAGGTATTTGTAAGTGAATTCACTTTATAAATTTAGCAGGGTTTTTTTTTGGGATTGGAGTGACTTTTTTAAAGCCTTTTTTTTTTTTTTTTTTAGAGGGTTTTTTTTTTTTTTACTATAGGGCATGTGTGCTCGCCAGACAGAGATAGAAAGCGAGAAATCACCCCCCCAGAGGGGATGGCCACATCGCAATCCCATCTCCTCCATTCTCCTCTTGGGATCTTGGGCACACACACACACGTGCCCAGCGTGGGTTTTAAGCCACCAGGTCTTGTACGTGAACCGCGGTCGACTACGTGGGAGTCCAGCAACATAGCCATTACGCTAACTACTGGTCCCCTGCAAAGCATTTTTGATACAAAGATATAGAAATATGAAGCTAATTCTAAATCTTAAAATTATGTATAAAGAATAAAAAAATAAAAACTAAAGCAGGTCAAAAGTCTAATTCGAGCACGTGTGTATCTTTATCAAACTTACACTTGCCTTGGAAGTAAAGGGGTCAGTGGAGGATGAGAAAGTTCTTAATCCTGCGAGCATGTTTCATTCTTTATTGAGCTGATGGCTTTTTCTAATGGAAACCCACGATTAATGCCTATAAAGTTGCAATTTATATTTTGAACACTCTGGAGTTTCTGGTAGAAAAACGGTGTGTGTACCCTGTTGGACCAGAGACTAGAGTCTCAGAGACATTCATGCTTCTGCTGCTTTGGTCTTGGTTTTACCTAGAAAACTTTCTCCTCTTGACTCCAAAGACCCTACTGTGTATTCATTTTCTGGGTCATATTCCTGAGTTTTCCTTCTTTTCACTCAGTTCTTAGCACCAGAATCAATCTCTTACTCCCTAACCTAATCCGCTCCCCCCGCCGCCCCCCAACACACACATACCTGAATAGCAACTGGAGTTTGGTGTGTAAATATATCCTGTCCACTTATGAATTTGTTGCCAATCTGTAAAAATTGCGTAGCATGAGACATAGGAAGGAGACATTTTTCTAGAGGCAGGTATCAAGGAAGATCTCACCTTGACTGTAGAAGTTAACATGAATTTCAGAAGACAGGATGGTGTTGGGAAGCAGTTATATACAATGGTCTAGAAATGCTGCTGGAGGAAGAGGTAGTATTGATTCCTCTAATCCCTCTCAGATGAAGAAAATATATTGGCTTCCTCTGAAAAAGTTTGAAAAGAATTGTTGTTACTTGTAGAATATAGGTTTCAGGTATATTTAGTAATTACAGTAAGAGTGTGAATGAAAGCTTGGTGTTTCTAAATGTTTGTTTTGCACTGGGTGGTAATAGAAAATCAGTGGTATGTCTAGAACTCTTATCAAGGAGGGATTGCTGAGGGACAGTCTGGTGGATGGAGAGGCTAAAGTGATTTACCTGCAACTGTATTGGCATGGTTGTTTGTTTAGTTTAAATTGTATATTCCTTGTGGAAGTGTAGTGGAATGGAAATAAAAAGTGTAAGGAATGGAAACTGTTGATTCCCACAGACAGTAACGATGGCGGCCAAACAGTGGGAAATGCTCCGGAGATGTGTGCCGATGAGTGCACGGGAGATGTGATATTTATATTCTCATGACAAATAAAGGCCAAGTTCACCTCTGCCGGCTCTTTTTCAGATTGTTTAGAGAAGAGAAGATGTATATCTCCGTCTGTCCAGCCCTTCCTCCTCCCCACCCACACTTTCGTCCCTTCCACTTCCATCTTCAAGCATGCCTGAGTAGGTTTTAAAATGGATTTATTTGGCATGATAACTACTACGGTTCCATCTCCTGATTGGGTCCTAAGTAAACATTTGCTGCAAACATAGAAAATGTATATACTACTAATCATAATTATAAACTTGAACAGGCCAGAAAAATCACAGCGAGAGAGGGCAAATACACAGTAGCTTAAATAGTACGATGGTCAGGTCTCGTTCTCCGGACAAGTGAATGGAATTCTTTCATTCTCAATTTTCACATCTGTGAATGGGAATAATATTATCTACTTTATAGGGGATGGACTGTAAGGTGCCTCATGGAGTGTCTGACATATAATATTACTTTCTATTTGTGGTGTTCTCACTCCCCGTTTTATTAGTATTCGAATATAAAACGTCAGTGCTTTACGTCTCCTGTGCTGCCGTATGGCCAAGAGTGCAGTCTGTGCCTGATTGTAAAGCAGAGTCTCGGATGGTTGCTCACACTCGTGCCCTTGTTAGTGTCTCTGGAGGTGCTTAGCATTGCCTGTCTAGATGAAAAGAGATATTTCAAACAGGAAATAGTGTCTTTCCCCAGTAACTGCCTTGATTTCTGCCCATATTTGTTATGACAAAAATCATTCACTGTGCCTGCATTCACAGCAACTCCATGATTTCAGTGGTTTGTTTGTTTGTTTGTTTGTTTCTTTTTTTGTGTGTGTGAGAGGTTTTCGCTATAGGGCGCGTGCGCTCTCCAGACAGACAAAGAGAGACATAGAGACAGAAAGCGAGAAATCATCCCCCAGGGGAGATGGTCACACCGCAATCCCTTCTCCTCCATTCTCCTCTCGGGATCTTGGGCACGCACGCACACGCGCCTGGCGTGAGTTTTAAGCCACTGGGTCCGGGACTCGAACCGCGGTCGACTACATGGGAGTCCAGGGACATAG